GGAAACTGTAATCAATAAACCGAACGTAACTTAAGAACAGTAAATCAAATGATAATAGTCTATAGGTTATTATGAAGCTTATAAACAGAGAAATATGTATATGCATAATCTAGTTATTGAATAGTTATACCATAAGAATAAATAGATAATGTTAGTCTATTAATAGTTGACAGAGGTTACCCCTAATTTCATCTTCATTAGGATATAACAGAATGAGATCGACATTTTGAATAAAAAGTGTTTTAATACAATAAATAGACCACTCGGACAGATATTACCAGTATACAAATCATATGGTGTATCCCACTTATGCCAACAAATATGAGTAGTATGTAGCATGAGTCGAGAATGGAATACCTGCCAGCTGAAGATTAAATTGAAGAAAACAGAAAGCAATTGAAATAACCAAAGAATTCGAAGAATCATATGGCATATACAGCACAACTGAAGAAAGTTGTACAAATTATGGTATTGGAAGGCATTTTTTGGATATTATGGTAAATGAAGCTCAACCATCATGGGTAACCTAGAAGCACTGGAAGGCCGTTTCGTCCTAGCACAGGCCTCCTCAACAATGAGTACCCATGAACCCAGAACCTATTGATCTCGCGCACGAACACTTAACCACTAGGCCACTGAGCCGGCATCGAACGATGGTAATGTCTAACTTCAACTAATCCATGATATAGAGCCAAACATGCACCATTGTCTCCAGTGAGTTACTATCTCACAACAGACCTAATTGAACTCCAGTAGTCACTTCTCACTAGAACTCCACGAAATACCTCTTGATACCAGTCACTAGTGAGCATATGTTGAATAGTATCAGAAGGTTAAGCTTTCCCGAGCAAGGCCGATAGGTCTTGGTTTTGAATCTCGTGAGGCGTATTCATGGATGCGCACTGCTGAGGAGTCCTCCAATAGAACGAAAAGGTCGTGCAGTACTTCCAGGCTTTCCATGGTAGTACAGCTTTGATTATCTCGTGATCTCAACAAATTATGGTCTTTATTATTTTATCATAATCATACTAATCGAATAGTTAAATGAATCAGGAGATGTTTTTTCTCCTTTTTAGTCAGCAGAGAGAGAAGAAGATCAAACAGTGAAGAATGAGTACTGAATACAATTTGTATGAAAATGCAAGAACAAAGGAAGTCTGCGTCATTCTGAGACAATTATTAACAAGTTCTGTAATTTTTTGTCAAATACATTCGATTGTCTACCGCTTGTGTTCGTGTTCACTACAGTAGTAGTAGTAGTATTAGCAGTAGTTTTTGTTGTTGTTGTTAACGGATTTTTGTTTCCTCTTTTCTTTTCTTCCAATCATTCCAATATACTGTGTAGATTCTCCTTCTTGCTTATTAAGTCATTCATTCATTCATTTAATTGTTCATTGTCTTTCTAACATACATAGTACACATTCAATAGAATGAAATTTTAGTGATAATAGAAATATTCAGTCTTATTATTATTCTAAAAGAGAAAAGTCCGTTCTTTAGTAAATTGGTAATTTCGATGGTGAAAATATTTTGATGGAGTTTTGTCCTCTGAATTGGAACTTTCATCGTTCTTCTTCTGAACGACATTATCAGCACAAACTTCAGGAAGAACTTAAGTGTTTGAATTTCTTCACATGCACTTCACAGCTTGTCCTGTACACCACCATGTTGATTGGTTCTTGTTGAACTTGAACCTGTTATTGTTAACTTGTTTGTTTTGATTGTATCTTCCATTGGCTTGATTTTTGTTCCTATGTTTGTACAACCACCTGAGCCAGACATTTTCTCCACCATTACTTACTTACGCTCACTAGCGCCCCTCATCCAACCCTGTCCTGGACAATTCTTCCCACGTCTTTCTAGTTATGATTCATCTTTTTTATATCTAATTTTATTTACAGAAATAATGTGTTCTTTGGTCTTCCTCTTTTCCACTTTCCTTCACGATTCCAAGTGAGGGCTTGTCTCGTGATGTAGTTTGGTGATTTGCGTAATGTATGTCCTATCTATTTCTATCATCTTTTCCTAATTTCTTCTTAAGCTCGAAGTTGGTTTGGTCTCTCCCACAGCTGTTTCTGATGATATCCGACAGTTGTTTATAAATATTTGTACCTTCTTGATGATGGTTGTAGTAGTTCTCCAAGTTTCAGCTCTGTACAGTAGGATTGACTTTCTTGACGTTCGTATTGAAGATTCTGATTTTGATATTGGTTGACAGTTCTTTTGAGTTCTATATGTTCTTCAATGGTAGAAATGTGACCCCTTCTTCACCATGGTAAAAATATATTACTTACATATTTAAAAATTTGACAAATAGATCTGTAACATAAATGGGTTGAATTTTCTGTTCCTTTTTTAAAATTATTTCTAATTCCCAGTCAAATGAAGATATAAAATGGATGTATAACAACTGAAAAGAATTGGAGAGGTTTGGCTAGAACAAGGTTGAATGGAGAGTGTGTATTGGTGGCCTATGCTCGCTCCCTCATGAGGAGTAACAGGGGTAAGTATTCAAATATTAGCAGAAATCATTGAGAATGTTAAAATATAGTCATTTCAAATTATTGCTCCATACAGTTGTTGTGTGGTAGAGGCATTTTGATTTATTATCAGCAACAGCCTCATATGGGAGAGAACAAACCAGATCCCAGTGAACGAAGAAATCAGGAAGAAGTGCCGGAAGTGGATAGGACACACATTGAGGAAAACATTTAACTACGTCACAAGACAAGCCCTTACATGGAATCCTCAAGGCCAAGGGAAAACTGGAAGACCAGAGAACATATTACGCCAATAAATGGAGATAGACATGAGAAAAATGAACAAGAATTGGATGGAACTAGAAAAGAAGGTAGAGTGGGACAGAGTGGGTTGTAGAATGCTGGTCGGCAGCCTATGCTCCATTAGGAGTAACAGACGTCAGTAAGTAAGTAAGTAAAGTAAGGTCTCATAACAATATTTTGTTGACACACTAACTGGTTTCGATGCAGATAACGTGAAATATGTTCCAAATGATTTGCTGCCGAAAACGTTTAGATTTTAAGACTGAAAATTAATCATTATCTCCTAAAAAGAAAACTCAATGTATACATACTTTTATTATCAGAATGTAGGTTTTTGGAGATTATAGTAATTTAATAGTTTAATTCATGCAGTGATTTAAGCTAGAGCATCAGAGAAAACCTGGAAGTACTATACGACTGTTTCTTCATAGTATGGAACTCCTCAGCAATGCTTATCGATGATGCTGCACTAGGGACTCGAACTCAGGAACTTCGGTCTCGCTCTTGAACGCTTAATCTCTAGACCAGGGAGTCAGAATGCAATCGTATTCATGTCTAACTTGGACCAATCAATGATATTGCCCAACCATCCACCATTATGTTAAAGTCGATGGTGCAACCAGTGGGTTTGACTTTTGTTCTCTGAGCTGGATAGTTTGGACGTGGAGCTTTCATCGTTCAAAAGAACTATGGACATTCAGCTCAGAGAAAAAACTTCATCATATTCATCCACCTGAGCTAAAAAGTCAAAAACTTCAATACGAACGTCAAGATAGTCCTATTGTATGGAGCTGTAACTTGGAGAACTACTACAACCATCATCAAAAATGTACAAGTATTTATAAACAACTGTGGGATATCATCAGAAAAGATGATGGAAATGGATAGGACATGCATTACGCAAATCACCAAACTACATCACGAGACAAGCCCTAACTTGGAATCGTAAAGGGAAGCGGAAATGTGGACGACTAAAGAACACATTATTTCTGTAAATAGAATTAGATATGAAAAGGATGAATAACAACTGGAAAGAGCTGGATAGTATTACCCAGCACAGGGTTCGATGGAGAATACTGATGGGCGTCCTATACTCCTCCACAAGGTATAACAAGTGTAAGTAAGTAGTGATCTACAAATCTTCTCCCACTATCTTCAAAAAAACACTTAGTCGCAGAAGAATTGAAATCAAATGACTACTTAGATGGTGGTTGGATGTAGTCGACTGGAAAGCCTAGACCTGGGTTTTGTGCTACTTGTCACTCGTCAGCAAGGTGTACCTGTAATCTTTGAGGGAACTGATGCTGTCCGTGTCATCCAGCTCCATAGTCAGAGACGTTACCACTGAGTTATCTGGACTGCGACTGACCTCTTGTAGGACTGATATGTAATCACAATTGATTGATAACTGGGTGGTGACCAATGTCATACATGTTTAGTCTTTATTATTAATGCAGATCGAACGCTATCGATCATGTTGCAATGTGGCCACCAATCTAGGTGACTCGACACTGCAGGCACTACTTAATTAATTAATTAATTAATTAATTGATTGATTGATTGATTGATTGATTGATTATATTTACCAGTAAAATCTATTCCTTAATTTGACTATCATATTTTATACATAAACTATATCCAATCATAAATTTACAAAAAATAGATTTTAACTCTTTGACCAATCATTAAAACTATGCCAAAAACAAACAAAAATAATAAAAAAAAAACATACACAACAGAAACAAATCAGACCTAAATTTTAGATTTCCCTTAGATGATGAACATGCTTACGTACGTACATCTGTAGGTATGTCAGTCCGTTACAGATCGATATATATATATATATATATATATATATATATATATATATATATGTGGAAAATAAAAGCATTGGTTTCTATTGTATGTACATATAGAGTAGACTTTATAGGTTCTATTTACCAGATATATACCTATATCTATATATCTATATCTATTTAGGTATAATGTCTATAAACAAATAATAAATCCAGTATTATTAGGATATATATCTATATATACCTTTACCTCAACATGGATAGATATAACACATTATAACTAATAAACCATAAACAATATCCTCATCAGTATTATTCTTGTTTCTCAAATATATATATATATATATATATATATATATATATATGTAAATAGATAGTTTCTTTCTTTTATTTTTCTTCTTTTTTCTTTACTTTTTTTCTTTTTTTTTACTTTTTTTCTGCGGTGGGGGTGGGAATTAGTGAATGTAAACTTTTCTTAAATGATTACATCATCTAATCAATCAATCAATCAATCAATCAATTAATCAATCAATCAATAAAATGAGTAAAATAAGTAATATAAAACATTTTTATAAAAGATTTTATTTTATTCAAATGATTCTATATATAATTTTAATACATTTATCCAATTGTAATTTATTGATAAAAGAAGAGAAAATTTTACGTAAATTAGTTAATTTGATTCATTCTACAACAAACGATTACAATACAATATGTACAATGAATTCACATAAATTACAATATTTATTATATACTACTTATAATACTACTACTACTACTACTACTACGAATTATAATGATATTCCATCATCATCATCATCATCATCATCACAGCAGCAGCAGCAGCAGCAGCATCAGGAGCATCGTCAGCAGCAGCAGCAGCAAGAGTATCAGGAGCAGGATTATCTACAATGATTAATTTAAATGAAACTTTCTATCCAATATTTCATCATTTAATAACACAAAAATCTTTAACACAAAATTTCTTATATGATATCTATAGATCTATACAGATGATAAGACATTTCAATCGTTGGCATAGCAACAACAACCATCGTAAAAACCAAAATAATCCTAATGATGAAACAAATCCTTATACCAGGCAACAATTAGAATTATATTTATTTAATTTATTACAATTGAATCAACCAATTGAATTTTATAATATGGATTTACTATTATTATCATTAAATAATAATAATAATAATATTAATAATTTAACTATGAATTATTATCAAAAATCTTATTTAATTGGTATTGGTTATTGTTTTAATGGTATATTAATGGCTTATGTAAATAATTATACTACTAATATTAGTAGTATAAGTAGTACTGCCAGTAGTAGTAGTCAGAGTAGTAGTAGTAGTAGTACTACTACTACTAGTGATTCCTTTGATAGTAATTCTATGAAACATAATGATATATGTAATCAATTTCAATTGAATATACAATCATTTCATAATAATCATAATGATACTATACGTTTCAGTGATTATAATTATGGTGAATTTTCATTATTTTGGTCACCAATTCAATGTGAATCTAATTCAATAATACCAATAGTTTTACGGTATTTTATTTATACAAAAGAAAAAAGGTACGTTTGTTTGTTTGTTTGTTTGTTTGTTTTTGTTTTGTTTTAGATAATTTCTATTAGATTTGTGATGATGGAGAAGATTTGTACCTGAGATGGATGATTTTGATAAAGTTTGGTTCTTTCAGATGGATGGTTTAGTCGTGGAGATATCATCATTCTCCTGACTGACATCATCAGCATAAATTTCACATAGACGTCTGCTGATAATGTCGTTCAGAAGAAGAACGATGAAAGCTCCTAGACCAAACCATCCAGCTTACACAATAAAACTCCATCAAAATTAGATTTGAGTTTTCGCATAATAATAATAATAATAATAATAATAATAATAATAATCAGTAATCAGTCAATCGATCGATCGATCAACGGCTGTTCATTGCTTCCAGGTTTACCATGATGGTCCAGCTTCAACTGACTCATGATTTTAACTATTGAAATGACTATAATATTCACAATAAAATACCCTTCTGATAATAATCAATCTTTACATAAGTAAAATTAGTTCAGTGAAGAGTTCTTCCCTTTTTCGGCGAATTCATTTTCAAAGCTGTACAATCGCAAATGTACATGTATTTGTTTTAATAGGATGATAATGATACTGATAATAAACTTCTGTTAGTCAATGTTGACAATGAGGTTCTTTCTTCATATTCTCCTTCCTTTACAGCTATCTGCTTCATCATCCACCTTCTCTTTAAATTCTCTACCCCCAACTGGTTCATTTTGTTTCCACGATCCTCCTGATTACATTTAATCTTAAATTCAACGTTCCATCTTATCATGCTGAGCCATCATTTCCCAATGATAATTTCCCTATCTATCTTTCGATGAATACTTAAGCCATTAACAATCAAACGATTATTCAACTATCTTTGCTTTATAAAAATTTTTTTATACTTTTGTTTACTTAACCTTACTGTCACCATGTCTAACAGAAGTTTATTATCAGTATCATAATCACTTGGTATTGTTTGGCTTGTATCTTCCCATTGAGGTTTTTCAAGACTGCAATTGATCAGTTTGTTATTGGCATATGTGCATACTGTGTGCATATCTCGATATTGCCTTAATTCACAAGCTTTTATAAACAAAGATGGATAATGTCTAGCAGTGAAATCCAGTTTGACACGCGTTTCTCCCTATTTAGGACTCGTCAGCTGGATGTAATTGCATCTCAGAGTTGATTTTCACTCTGGGACTTGAACCCAGTACTGTTCGCTTCAAACGCCATCGCGTTATCCACTCAGCTACTGAGCCTTGATAGCCACTTGCTTGTGCAATGGGGTGAAGCTTAAATTCACTTGGTATTGTTTTGCTTGTATCTTCCTATTGAGGTTTATCAAGACTGCAATTGATCAGTCTGTTATGGGCATATGTGCATACTGTTCATACTATGTGTATCATTATCATCCTGTTAAAATAAGTACATGCATATTTGCGTTGTGCAGCTTTGGAACTGAATTCTCTGAAAAGCGGAGAACTCTTCGCTGAACTAATCTTTCTTATTTAATATCTTAATGGGTGTATTCCGTTTAATAATAAATCTGTTTAAATCAATGTAATGTAACCTGATTCCGAATTAATAGTGAATCTCTTGACGTTGCTTCACTGCCTTGTAGATCAGATATTTACGTCTAAGGCTCCGGGTGTGGCCACCTAAGAAAATCATCTTCTTCGGTCTGAGCACCCGGGCAGTATTACAGCTTACACACAAATCAAGTGACTTGTGTGGCACATATATATTCGCTACTCCTTTGTACCAATATTTTTGTCTTTAAATAAATAAATACAAGTAGTAAATATATGAGGTTGTGAATCTGCATCGACTGAGATGGATGGGCCACGTGTTACGTATGCCCTAACACCTATAAGCATGACGCGCAATGCTGAGTAGTGTAGGGCATGGTTGGAAGAAAGTTACGGGCGGCTATACCAAAATGTGACATCGGTCATTCAAGTTACTACCTTCTGGTCACGTTGTCCATGTTGTTAGATGCAGACTACTTGATTGGGATCCACGTGACTATCGTAATCAATGGTTGGAGACTGTGGGTGACATGGCCTACTATCGATCACAATAGTGTAGATGTATATACTCTTTGTCTCCCCTTAGACCGTCAGTTGAAAACTGCATTATACTTTTATTTCTATCAACTAATTCTTTCCTCCCGTACTATTCCCTTATATGCAATGTTTCTTTTATATATTACCACCACTGAATTAACTACTTCTATGAATGTGGTGTCCATCTTGTTGTACTAATGATTTATGGTAACTTGTACCGATGAATATATATGTGCTTGATCCTACATTGTAGCTAACTGATTGACCAACTACGACTTTATCGTTTTATATAACTTAAAAACTGAAAAGCAGTATTTTAATCCAAGTTTTAAACAATCGACTAAGATCTAATTAGTCAATTCATGATGATTATAGACTTCAGGTTTCAAATTGATCATTATAGATCAAATATATTTTGATGAAGTTTTGTTCTCTGAGCTGGATGGTTTGGTCGGGGAGTTGTCATCGTTTTTCTTCTGAACAACATCATCAACACAAACTTCAGATAGAAGTGAAGTGTTCAAATTTCTCCATATGCGTTTCACAACTTGTTCTGTACAAGAATTACATGTTGATTAGTTCTTATTGACCTTAAATGTGTCATTGTTTACTTTTTTGTCTTGGTTGTGCCTCCTCTATTGGTGTGGTTCTTGTTCCTATACGGTGAAACCTTCACGATATAAACTATCCAGTTCAGAGAACAAAACTTCATCAAAATCATCTACCTGAGCTATAAATCTTCTCCACCATTGAATATATATTATTTACTGTATTATACGTATGACTGATAATTTAATTTCTTTTTTTTTGTCAAATCGTTTTATCATTCTTCTATTTAGTCTTTCACTACCTATTGAGGGTAATTTTATTTTTTTTATTTTTTTTTGTAAAAAATGAAAGAAATCTGTTTCTATACATTTTTCCTAATCCATTTCATCATATCGTTGCCAATATCCATTTCAATCCAAATAAGGAACGATACATATTTGTCTTTAACCCTGTATTGTTTATGTCTATCTATCTATCCACTCATCTATCTACCTATGCACACATCTATCTATCTATCTATCTACCTATCCACTCATCTATCTACCTATGCACACATCTATCTATCTATCCACTTATTTATCCATCTATCCGTTATAATATCGACTGAGATCATAAGCTTAAATAGCCTAGATTCATATAGTTAATAGTGTATATTTCAATGAAGTTTTGTTTACTGAGCTCAGAAAAGTTATGTATATAGAGAAGAATCAATTTAAAGGCAAATCTAATCATGTATATATATATATATATATATATATATATATATATATATATATATATATAACTGATTGATATAATATGATTTTTACAATATAAGGAATTTATAAAGAAAAGATGAATTGGTTGCTAGCAGTGGAATTCAGTTTGACAAGCATTTCGTCTTATTTAAGATTCGTCAGTTGGATGTACCTGCATCTCCGAGTTGATGTTCACTCTGGGACTCGAATCCAGTTTAAAGCGAACGGTTCTGGGCTCAATTCTTAGAGTGAACATCAACTCGGAGATGCAGGTACATCCAGTTGACGAGCTCTAAATAGGACGAAACGCGCGTTCTTGATTCCACTGCTAGCCACTATCCATCTTTGCTTATAATGCTTGTAAATTGAGGCAATAACGAGGCAATACGCACAGTATGTACATATGCCAATAAGAGACTGATCAATTGCAGTCCTAAACATCAATGGGAAGATTCAAGTAAAACAATATAAGGAATTTGTTTTAGATCATATATCTGTTATATTGGATACATAAAAGTTTGATCGTACAAATGATAAACTATTATTGTTTAAGGTTTGAAATGTACTAAATGAATATATAAATATTGTAAATAAACAAGGTTAAAATGTAAATTTGATGTTATAGGGGTATCTTGATTGTTGCATGTCTTGATTATAAGGGCTGTGAAACATAGTCGGTAAGAGAAGAGCATATTCGTAGGTTACTAATATTCGATCATAGGAGTTTTCGATGCATTGCTCTTATATCCTGGGACCACCGAGCAAGTAATGTAGTTGTTAGGAAATGGATTCTAGGTAAGGATGGCAAATCAATCGATGAATTAGTGAAACCTCATCAGTTGAGATGGCTGAGACACATGTTACATATGACCAACCACAGACTACCCCGAAGTGCGATGCTTTATGGTGTAGGAGTAGGTTGGAAGAAATCTAGGAGTAGTCAGACGAAAACAGCGACACAAGTCCATATCGTCACTGACAAGTGAACTGAGTGAGTCATGTTGGTAGATGTAGACTACCTGGTTGGGATCGATGCAATGATAGCAACTGACGGTTAGATACCTTGAACGACACGATTGGAAATCGTTTGGAATGACGCAGGTACATCCACTCTTTGTGTTCTCCCAAATTATAATCTTCTGAATTATTCATTTCCTTTGCTTTCTTCTCTTTCCAAATTTATTTCATCAGATTATACTCCTTGAATAACATTTTCGAACCCTAATCTTCCCGATTACTATTTATACATTCACTACTTCTACCACTATGATATTTGAATCGACAACTGTATTTGTGTGCTAATATGGTATGGCAACTTGAACTGATGTAAGCTCGTCCGTAGGAAGTCCTACGTTGTTACTAACTGACTGACTGACTGACCGAAACATACGTTTACGTCTTACGATATTTATATAAGAAAATTAAAGGTTCAACTAAACAAAATGGAACATGGGAAACCAACAAGATTGTATAGAAGAACGATAAGAAACATACCATTCTAAATATTAAAATTAGATCAGTATTATTATAATACATTTGTTGTTAATACATAGTGCTTTTTAACATACAGACTGGAGTTAAATTTTCTCATGGTATCGAATTTGTTATAAAATGTGACTAACTGAACATGATCGCCTTAAACTATGTAACTTTCTTAGAAATGTACTAGTGTAGTAAACGAGAACTCAGGTACTTACTTACTTACTTACTTACTTACTTACTTACTTACTTACTTACTTACTTACTTACTTACTCCTGTTACTCTTAATGGAACATAGGCCGCCGACCAGCATTCTCTAACCCACTCTGCCTTCCTTTGCAGTTCCACCCAATTCTTGTTCATTTTTCTCATGTCTATCTCCATTTCCCGGTGTAATGATTTCTTTGGTCTTCGTCTTCTCCTCATTTGGCCTTGAGGATTTCATGTGAGGGCTTGTCTTGTGATGCAGTTGAATGCTTTCCTCAATGTGTGTCCTATCTACTTCCAGCGCTTCTTCCTGGTGGAGTAATTTAATTTACTGATTAGTGCAAAACTACATAATGTTTTCGTGGAATAAGAAAGTCATATATATGATGTGCACTGTTTGCACATCTTCCTTTATTTATCCTGTACATACTTCTTCATTCTTCCAATTCAGTTTTTATTTCGATTCTTCTCTGTTTCCTTTACTCTTTCCTTTATTTCAATCTTTGGCTGGTAGATATCCTACTTACCATTACAGCTACATACTACTTATATCTGTCAGCATAAGCAGTATACATCATACTGGTATGTATCACAGTTGAATGAAAAAGCTTACAGAGACTGTACAGATTTAAGATAGTTTTATTTCTTATAGATTATAAACTAATAAGTAATAAAATGCCATTTCGTCTGTGCATAAACTCTTCAATAGCACAAACTGATAACCACTTCATAGATCGATTCTCGAATCTATGAAATTATCCTACAAATATGTTGTCCACTTCAGATCATTGAATTATCATCCAAAGTAATACATTTAAAACTTCGATAAACTTATGTCATATTATCATTCTATCCATCAGTTTATCAACTGAAGTTAGTTTCTAATATAAATCATTATCAAATATATAATAAGTAGTATGATCATTTGCAAAAAAATTTATTTTCTTCAATTCTATTCCAGTTTATTTTTCGAATATGATTTGAGGGATTATACAATTGATCAATGCGCTTTGAATATAAATCGATGTGGAGCAACAACTCGAGTAAGTTGA